ACTACACAATATACCCTCCTCAGACCCTCCCCACCCCTTGGAAATCTCAATCTCCTTAAACTCCATATCTTCATAAACTCCACTATTTTTCTTGACTAATTTCTTTACATATGGAAACTCTTTTCCAAGCCATGTGAGTATTTTCTGCAATATATTAAACTATTTCTTCATACGATTCTAAAAACTGGAATTTAATTTGTTAGATTTTGTGTTATTCTTTTGATAAATAAGATTCTTCGTTTAAGTTGTATCTACATTCATGTGTCTTCTCATGTGCAAAAACAAAGAAATGATACTCTAGGGAATGACACGTGTTCTGTAATAGACTCCTTGCAGCACGTTGGAATGCAGCTCAATTTGAAGGACATAACAATGGTTTTTCATTTCTCAGGAGATTCAAAAATTCATTTCGTCCTCAAAATTGAGCTGCTTTGAGTCACATGTAAGAGTTTTATTGAAAACATAACATTACCGCGTTATTGTCACATTACACCACTATTAGTTGATCTACACTGGCTACCAGTGAAARAACGTACGCAATTTAAGATCTTGCTATTTGTTTTCAAAGCTATTAATGGTATCGCACCTGATTACATATCTGAGCTTATCAACATAAAGGATAAGGGGAGTTATAACTTAAGATCTAGTAAAGGTTTATTACTTGCCCCATTTAATCGCAAGACCAGGAAAACATTATCTGCATTTCAGTATTAACCAAAGATATATACTTATTTCAATAAAGTCATTCACCAAAAACCTAGAAAGCTGTGATCGCTGAGAATCAYGGGGAAATGTTTTATATCCAACAAGTAAAGCTTTTGACACAAACTGCAGCAGTTGAGGATRCTCAGAGGAGGTKARMYTGWAACTGGTRGAAGATCTCAAGTCCATCARCAGTTGTCAAGCGGTTGAAACATGTAAAATGTATCTACCCATAATCCTTGCCGGTCTCAGCTGTGTAGCTTTTCAGGTGACTAACTTTATTGAAATAAGTGTATCTTGAATTTKTACAGACAAAGTCGTATATCACTGCCAGACCTCGAAGATCCATCGTTACCTCCTCCATATGTTGTGCGTGTGATATTAATGTACGGTAGATCACTATGTACTCCAGTAATCTCYACTCAGGCGCATCAGGTGCAGTATTAAAACTCAACATTATATCTCGTGTTTCACCATTGTAAATAAAAAACATACTTCAACACATATATTAGGCAACTATTTCTTCCTTTTCTTTTTTTCCTCTCTCTTTTCTTTCTTTCTTTACTTCTATTGACCAATCTTATAGTTTGCCAACTGTCTCGTTTAGTCTATGGCTATTACAGCTGGCTTGTACCAACTTTCTGGTTTTTTGTTGTTGTTGTTGTTGTTGTTGTTGTTGTTTAGTATATGTATTTTTGCAATTTTGGTAATAATTAAAGATTGATTGATTGATTGATTGATTGATTGATTGATTGATTGAACCCTTTGATCATGTAAGAAGTAGTGGTCGTTGCCTTTATATTGGTGTAATCGCGCCTTTACACGGCGCAAGGGAGACGCAATCGTTGCCAAAGGAAGAAATGAATGCTACTTTTTCCAACGATTGCTGCAACTCGTCTCGCAACATTTTTCAAATTGCGCTGTAGGTTACACGCTGTAACAACACCAACCGTTGCGAGACAAGTTGCAGAGAAAATTGCTCCGTGTGATCGCGCCTTTAGTAATAACAYTTGTTTTATTCTTATTTTTATTTTAGACTCTTCATAACCTGCTACAGTCACCTTACTTTTTCTTTGATGTAATTTACGTTCATCAACTTCCATCCGAAAATAATAAATGCGAGGTAAATATGGTTGACTCGATGTGTTCATACGTTTGCTGTATTTTATTTTATGTCACTCAAGRAAATTCGTGAAATGTCTGTTGGTGAGTGAGAGGGCACTTCTTAAAGTGCCTATCGCCCTTATGA